GTTCTGCAGGTACGAAGTCGTACACAGCGAGAGCTGGAGAATCCGGTGCAGTCCACTGGCGAGACTGGCCCCTCGTTGGACCAGTACAGGCACACCACCTGGTCATCGTTGCCGTCGGAGCCATGGCCCATAGTCGAAGAAGGGGAGAGAGATGAAAATGAAGAGCATACTCTTCTTCATGGGGTCCATGACGTCTGAAGCGGGCCTGCTCGACTGGCCATGTTCTCCCAGCCTTTCTTCCATAGTTCAGGTTGGATTGTGACCTGGCCGATCTTCGCACGACACCTGGTGCATTTTTTCCATGCGAGACCTCTCCGAATGGAGATAGAGCACCTTGGAACGGTGGCACCACGAACTGGCAGCTTTTTGTGCTTGGCTGTTCAGTCACCTATGAACTTTCTTCTGCTCTCGCCAAAGTGGCTTTTGGAGCAGAATGTGTTTTATTTATTGTTTGATTGTTGAAGGTCGGAATGACCATCAGCGAACTACGGCAGCGCACTACGGTGCATGACTGACTCTTTAGTCAGCCGGAGACACATGTTCTCTGTGCGCACGCATTCGACGGATTTGCGACGAGCGCCTCAAACTCAAAACTCAAAAACTATCTATCTATCTATCTATCTATCTGTCTGTCTGTCTGTCTGTCTGTCTGTCTATTTATCTACCTACTACCTACTATCTATCTATCTATCTATCTATCAGCCTTTCAGGGTCAAGGAGGCTGTGTCCAGGCCACGATGTGACTTGGTTTGATGGCCGCCCGGTCTGCTGCTTGCATGGGGTCCTGGCCCCTGGGCTGGTTGATCTTTGCGATCGTCATCTGCCGCGAGCTTCACACCTCCACGATCCTGCACGGTCCCAATTCCGGGTCCACCCCGCACCGTGGCTTTGTTGGTATATTTTTTGAAAATGGGGGTGGGAAAGAGCAGGGTTGGCAAACGGCCCAGCGTTTGCCTGAAAGGGGCAGAATTACCATTGGGGAAATGAAGCGCCCCCTGAACAATTGGGCGAAGGGCAACCCACGGGATCAGTGTCGTAAAGAAGAGAAGCTTGGCAACAGATCGAAGTCCGTGCAGGCGCAGTTCTGCAGGTACGAAGTCGTACGCAGCGAGAGCTGGAGAATCCGGTGCAGTCCACAGGTGAGACTGGTCTGTCGTTGGATCAGTACAGCCACACAACCTGGTCATCGTTACCATCGGAGCCGAGGCCAGTTGCTGCAGAAGAGGAGAGGGATGAAACTGAGGAGCGCACTCTTCCTCATGCGGTACACGATGTATGAACTGGGTCTGCTTGACGTGCCATGTTCTCCTAGTCCTTTCTTCCATGGTGCAGATTGGACTATGAACTGGCTGCTCTTCACACGATACCTGGTGTTTTTTCCATGTGAGCCCTCTCCGAATGGAGATTGAGCAACCTTCGGTGGCACCACAAACGGGCAGCTTTTTGTGCCTGGCTAATTAACCAGATATGAACTTTCTTCTGCTCTCGCCACAGTGGCTTGTGGAGCAGAATGTGTTTTTATTTGATTGATGTTGAAGGTCGAAATGACCATCGGCGCACTACGGTGCATGACTGACTCTCAAGTCAGCCGCAGACACATGTTCTCTGTGCCCACGCATTCGACGGACCTCCGACGAGCGCCTCAAACTCAAAACTCAAAACTATCTATCTATCTATCTATCTATAAGTTGAAGACAGGGTGGTGATTTCGGGTTTTCTCAAAGAAGAGCATATGTTCTCTGGTTTCTTTCACTGGGTTTCCGAAACGCTGGTATCTCTTTGGGCCTTTGAGCAATCTGACATGCCAACCTGATAGGTTTCATAGTCAGTGAACAGCAGCCCCTGGCATTTTGTAGCTTCAAGCAGTAGGCACAAACAAGCCATGTGACACGAGAACGCAATTCGCAGAAGTGTGAAGAGGCTTTTCTCCCAAAAGACATACAGGAAAGGTGATGTTCACATACAAAGGGTTTGTTCTACTATCCTTCGGCATGGCATCCAGCAGGGTATTGATGCTGAGAACCCACTTTCTGACATGCGCAGCGCAAGGAGCCATGTTCATCTCTACTTTGGGTCCCAAACATAGCGTCAAAAAAGCAACATCCTGAAGTAGATCGAGAATGGACAATTCCCAAACAACAGCTTTCAATCTTGGGTTTCTCAGAGGGCTAGGTATCCTCACAGATGAGGTCATAGACTTGGTCTGAAGAGAGCCTACTGCGAAGTGTGCAGCTTGGGTGGACTGGACATAATCTCGCAGATCCGGACCTTTTTCCAACCCAGATCCCCCCGTTCGAACCGAGGAGTCCGACTCCCGATTCGCTCCGAAGCCGACGAAGTGAACGGATCGTGCCAAAAGGGGAGCAAAACCATCGGTGGTGCGATCGAAAAGAACATCGGAGGACGCGACCAAAAAGAGAACAAAAGGAAACCGTCTTGCTTTTCCATGATGAAGACCGTCCTTGATGGCGATGGCCATGATTGCCCTTTGGCTGGGCCTTTGGGTGTGAGCCTCGTCACTGCAGTCACTAAGGGATCTAAGGCAATTTGGTCTGGAGAATCGCTTTGGAAGGGACTCGTCTTAGGATGATTTGGATTTTAGTTTGACTCCACTGATTTTAGATGCTGTATAAGGTCACCTGTGCTGGATGGCCACGGGCTGGCATCTGAGAAACCAGACAGGGCGAATGACACAAGATGTCTAAAGCCAGGGTACCAGAGGGCTTGTGATTCTTCTGTTCTCCAGGCTCCAAGTATGGCAGACCTTTAAGCCAACCCTTGAGAAAGGGATCTCCATGTGTTGAAACGTGAGAGGGACTGAACAGGACCAGCAGTTATATAAACCTATGTTTGTGGATCCTGCTTAAATCGGCAGGCCTGGCTGTCATGAACCAAGAATCTTTTTGAGGAGTCATTTTTGAAGCGCCGACTTTGTTTACCAGACCGGGAATGGTTGATTGACCTTCACTTGGGTGAAGCCTTGAGATTATCCAATTCTTTTGCAACTTGCTTCTATTCGTGCCTGTGAGGGCCACGAAGGAGGCCTACAAGCCCCAGCAGCCTTCCGCATCGAGGCAATTCTTTTTGCGGGAAGCTAGAGAGGCGGTTTGAGGTTTGACCCTTGAGGAAGGGGATTTTTGCTGCCTGAGCGAGTTTAAAAGCTTGGTTTGTGTTTCATTGTATTTCTTCATGGGAGTCTGTATGTTTTGTGGTTGTTGATCTTTGAGTTCCTCAGTGCATGCTTAAGCCTTTGGCACAACACCCGGCTCCGCCCTTGCACCATGGAAAGAGTGGTTTGCATTGGTAGTTCCATGATCAATAGAGTATTTTGTTGTAGATGATGCAGGATTGCCGATCAACCGTATTTCTTTAGCTCAAACTCAGAGACCCTAACAGCCAGAAC